TATGTGTGTGTGTGTTCTTTTCCATTGATGATATTGAAATTAGTATGTGACTTACAATCAATGACAAAAGAGCCCCAGTGGTACAATGGGTTAAACCCTTGTGCTGGCTGACCTGCTGACCAAAAGGTCAGTGGTTCGAATCCAGTGAGAGGGGTGAGCTCCTGTCTGTCAGCTCCAGCTTCTCATGTGAGGACATGAGAGAAGCCTCCCACAGGATGGTAAAACATTTGAGCGTCTCCTGGGCAACACCTTTGCAGAAGGCCAATTCTCTCACACCAGAAGCAACTTGCGGTTTCTCAAGTCGCTCATAACACACACAAAAAATTGATGACATTTAAGAAGTGAAGCAATACAGTATATCAAAAATATAAAAAATAAAATATTGTATTTCTTCACCAAATAAATTAGTACTGTGATATAACTATACAAGGAACTGGCTTGTTTGCTGTGTAATATATGCAAGACAAACTTCATTTATTATTTAAAATGTTTTGGCTTCTGATGACGTGACACATTTAAAAGATCTAGATAACTCCCAAAATACCATAGTTTAACATCTTTACATTTCACAATCAGGCCAGTCTCTCCTTGGTGTTTTCCAGATGTGTTAGACCACAACTTCCATAAACCTCAACTAACTGAAGTCTAACACATCTGGAGAACATGGAGTTTTTGAAAGTTTTACACCTTTAAAATGACAAGAGGGAGAATTTATTTTAGTAAGAGGCAAATACAGTGCTAATTTTATGACGCAGGTATAATCATGTAAAGTTCTAACAAGTAATGGGAAATTTAACTTATCATTAGGAGCCTCCAGTGGCGCAATGGATTAAACCCTTGTGCCGGCAGGACTGAAGACCGACAGGTCAGAGATTTGAATCTGGGGAGAACGTGGATGAACTCCCTCTGTCAGCTCCAGCTCCCCATGCGGGGACATGAGAGAAGTTTCCCACAAGGATGGTAAAGCATCAAAACATCTGGGTATCCCCTGGGCAATGTCCTTGCAGACAGCAAATTCTCTCACACCAGAAGTGACTTGCAGCTTCTCAAGTCACTCCTGACACAATAATAATAAAAACTTATCATTTATGCAGAACCAAGTGCCAAATCAATATGATGCAGTATGGGACAAAAATTTAGACAGAAGTGGTTCCAAGTAATAATATTGGGATTTGTTATGATTCTGGATGCATAGATGAATAGAAAGAAACCATACAAGGATTTTTGAAAGTGACTTAAAAAAAACACTACAAGGTAAATAATTAGATTATTTGAAATGAGTGGGAAGTTTGTTTTCCTCAATTAAACTGGAGATAGAAAAGAAGGAGAACTTGGCTGTTTTGTCAAATTGGACTTCCTAAGTAAATTTTCTCACCCAACCTTAATTCTATGACATACGATAATCATGGTTCAATTAGAATTTTACCATTTGTGATGCATCTGCAGTGTGACTTGCACATGCAAGGCATGGACCTGATCCTTAATTCCTATATCATGGATATTATGGAATATGGACGCTATTCTTAATCCTACCTAAAAACTACATTTTTTTCTTCATCAGTAGTCATTCTTTGTTCAACAGTTATTTATCAAGATCAATACCAAATATATTTATGGCTCCAAAGTGAAACCACAACAGTCTCTATTGCAGTAGGGCTGTATATATATCCTTGCTTGGAAGAGTTTATAAAGTTTGAGCCTGAAAATAGCTTTGAAAGCTTTTCAGGTTTTCCAATGATTACAATTTGAAGACTGTCAACAGGCATTTTCCACCAGCATTGCTAAACCTACTGATTTTGCGATTTACTTGTGATCAATTCTTTTTTCATTATACTTGCAAGTTCATGGGCTGTCACTTCTATTTTTTCTCATCAAGGTTTAGAGCCCTCAAGCAATGAGCTGAACTACGTGGAGTGAGTTGGGTTGAAGTCAACCAGATCCAGGAAAGGAAATTGGGATGAAATCAGTTAGGTTACAAAAAGGCAGGTCACAGAAAGCCAAGTGACATTACGTCAGGGATAGTCAAGCAGGACTGAACACAGTCACAGAATTAAAGAAAATCAAGGTAATTACAGAAAAAGTCCATGTGAGTCTTTCTTTCTGCTAAGCACTGATCAGGACTCAAGAAAACTCTTAGCATATTCTTAATATAAAACAAGGTAAAGCTGTTTCAGTCTAAAGACCTCATCACATTGAGGTCGGTATGCTGGGCAATAGTGAGAGGATTCACCATGGATTGTGGCCGATCCAGCATGGGGTGTGGGGAATCCGCCGCCCCACTCCCCACATTACCCATTATTATTATTATTATTATTATTATTATTATTATTATTATTATTATCTTTATTTGTACCCTGCTAGCATCTCCCAAAGGACTCGATGCGGCTTACAAAGGCCAAGGCCTCAAAACACAACATAACAATACAACACCTAAAGCAAATTAAAAACAGTTAAAGCAATATTACACAACAAGCAATAAACAATACAACAAGACACTATAAAACTGGGCCCTTAAACTCATCCCACGGAGGTAAGTGTTTCCATCCAGTTTCCCTCCATTCTTCTCTATGCAACACAAGAAGCCTCTTATGTTGCCAGAGTTGCCTCGTACGACAGTTGGACCTCACTTCTGGCATGGAGCCATGCCGGAAGTAGATCTACATCATGTGATGTGATCCAGGGGACTCAGTGCCCGAAGTGAGGTAGGACTGTGTAGGACAGTCAATTTTGCCCGTGTGATGAAGTCATAAGACTGGAGGCATTAAGAAAGATGGCAAGGCCTTTCTTTCAAGTCACTTCACACACACACAAAACAAATGTTTATAATCCTTAAAAGGAGCATGACAGTTCTGTGGAAGGGATCACAGGACAACTACCCATGTGGAAAGAGCCACATTCTCAAACCAGGAGGCCATAGCAGTTATGTCAATCACCATTCCTAAAAATGTGAGAATGATTTATTCAGACCTAAGACTGGATCCATACTGCTATATAATCCAGATTATCATAACAGAAAATCCAGATTATCTGCTTTGAACTGGATTGTATGAGTCTACACTGTCATATAATCCAGTTCAAAACAAATAATCTAGATTTTACATAGCAGTGTGGATGGGACCAAAATGTCTTTGTTTCTGCTAATAATAATTCTGGGATCCATATCAAGAGGACACGGCAGCATCTTGGAACACGTTGAGACATTTTAGAGGCACATATTTACAATCGCACCAAGTAAAAATGAAAACCATAGAATGTTAACTCTTTCTTCCAATGAATTCTTGTTACATTAAACTAAAAACCACTGTCTTTCAAAGGACATTCTAGATATTGCTGAAGCTTTTCATGTCCGGAATCACTGGGTTGCTGTAAGTTTTGCAGGCTGTGTGGTTATGTTCCAGTAGCATTCTCTCCTGGCGTTTCGCCTGCATCTGTGGCAAGCATCCTCAGAGGTTTGTATAGAGGTTGGAACAAACAGACTTCTGAACACCTCTAAGGATACTTGCCATAGATGCAGGCAAAACATCATAGAATCATAGAATCAAAGAGTTGGAAGAGACCTCATGGGCCATCCAGTCCAACCCCTGCCCAGAAGCAGGAATATTGCATTCAAATCACCCCTGACAGATGGCCATCCAGCCTCTGTTTAAAAGCTTCCAAAGAAGGAGCCTCCACCACACTCCGGGGCAGAGAGTTCCACTGCTGAACGGCTCTCACAGTCAGGAAGTTCTTCCTAATGTTCAGATGGAATCTCCTCTCTTGTAGTTTTAAGCCATTGTTCCGCGTTCTCAGAAGAGAATGCTACTGGAACAAGGCCATACAGTCCAAAAATCTCACAGCAACCCAATCTATTTATTTATTGACAGTATTTCTATTCCGCCCTTCTCACCCCGCAGGGGACTCGGCAGATTACAATGTACATATACATGGCAAACATTCAATGCATAGACACACAACATATATAGACAGACTCTCAGAGGCTATTTAACATTCCAGCTTCTGGCCACCAGGGGAGCTGTCGCTTCCTCATTCTTTGCATACTTGCATACTTCCTGGAGATTTTTTATGGTCTCGTAAATCAGTTAATTTAGCCTCCCCACAAAGTGCTACCTAATTTTCCTACTTGATAGATGCAACTGTATTTCGGGTTGCAAAGGTTGACAACAAGCTACACAATTGGTCGGAAGCTCACTCCGACCTGAGCTAGCTTCGAACTCATGACCTTTTGGTCAGTAGTGATCTTAATGCAGCTAACTCCCAGCCAGCTGCGCCACAGTCCCAGTGCAACTCCTGGAAGAGTTGTTGTCATGGAGAAAAGGGTTTCCACTGAATCTAGATATTGCTTTGGACCCATATTAGGAAAGGATAACCTCAGATTTAAACACCAAGGAGGTCGTTTCACATTCCGGTTCTCCTATTGTGTGAGTGCCTCCTACAGAATTCTGGGATATGAAGTTGAGGGAAGGCGAGATCCTCTCTGGCCAAGAATTCCAAAGGTCCCACCCTCAACTATATTTCCCAGAATTCTGCTGGAGGCAGCCACACGATAGGAGAACAGAAGCACCCATTTTACAAGGCTAATGTGATATCGTCCTTACTCTACATATCTAAATATGAAAAGGTCTGGGGAACACCACTGCTTGTTGATCTGGAAATGGATTTTCTACATCTTCTGCTATCTTGAGTTTACTATAGAAAATATTGGGAGAGCAGCAGAGAGAGATTGGGAGAGAGATACAGTCACCACAGGGATGCAGATCCCCATGGCAACAGTACTGTGTATCCCAGTTCAGAGAATGGCACAGTCCCAACCATCCCACTCAAGGGAACCCTTCCATTTGGCATAGTAAATCAGTGGTTGCTTTTCTAAAGCACTAACATTGAAATGTAATATCAAATGGAAACGGAAAGTAAGTCTTGGTTTTGCTTAATGGCTAAATAGATCAGTTTCTAGGGCCTTGACAAAAGTTAAAAATAAATTATAAGTGAGTTCATATACATACCCGCTGCTTTTCAGGATCCACATAACGAATACCAAAGTAGTCTTTTTCCAACAAACTGTAGTGATTGCAAACATGATCTATGAGAAACTGACCTTTGGTCTCTTTCTGAAAAAGAAAAAGAAAGCAGGATATATAGTAAACCTATATAGGTATATTCATTTCAAGCACATTCTGTTTACTATAGTACACAATTTAAGAAAACTTAATAATGTCTACTATATACTCATTTTGTTGGTTCATATGTGTGTGTGTATCATGATGTCAGAAGATGGGTAAATTCTATCAGGTATTACAAAAGGGACAAGATGAGCCAGAAGCATGAATATCCCTGATATCAGCACACCCACATTTAATGTCTGGTCAAATTTCTCATTCCTGGTAGCAGTTTAAGGAATCCTGACAATGGAGATGGAAAAGGACTGAGTGTGCCACAGCCTCAGCTAGGGCAGAAAATAAATGTTCTTCAACATTATCGAACTAAATCAACTAATTAGCTTAGACATTTACTACTTTAAAAAATGTTTAACTGGACCTTTTAAATGACAACACCTGGAAAACTGCATTTTCAAATACAAAGGCAAAAACAGCAGTAAATCCATAGCTTTGAAGGATTTACTCTCTAATCCATTCAAATTATTGGATTATCAGTCATTCTGAGCTCCATACACCAGAGTACTTGAGTTAATTAGTATGTGATCAAAGTCTGAGTAAAGCAATCATTTATTTCAAGCCAATAACACTTTTTTTCCTAAACCAGGTACTAGATTAAACTTGTTTGTGAAGAACAATCAAGGATGCAATTATGGAGGTGCTAGATTCTTGTATCATTCGTTTTGAGAATCAAATACAATGATTGTGTGGATTATTATGGACAGCAAGAAGTACTGGCACTCATAAGTAATTAAGCAAAAGTGAAACTGTATAGTTGCAAGATATGGTTAACTCAGTTTTGTATTTGCAGACTTGTATCAGTTTAGCCGTTTGTCACTTGCCTGATTTGTTGCCTGCCACAAGCACCATCCCAATTACTCAATAAGAACTGCTAACAGTAGAGCAGAACTATGAATGGCCCTGAGCCGCATTGTTAGAAAAGCTTCCATACGTGAATTATTTTGTCACACCAAGAACAGTCCTGCTAAGCTAGCATTATTAGTCACAAGAATAATAATAACAACAACAACAACAACAACATCAACAACAACTTTAACCCAACACCATCTCCCTGCTACTCTGCTGCTGAGTATCATGCCCAGTGTGGAACACAACTTACCACGCTAAAACAGTGAATGTGGCTCTTAATCAGACATGCCACATTATCACAGGATGTCTGTGCCCTACACTACTGGAGAAATTACACTGTTTCACTGGTATCGAAGCATCTGACATCTGCCAGGAAGTAACAGCCAATAATGAAAGGAGCAAGGCAGTGACATCTCCGGTCCATTCCCTGTTTGGATATCAGCCAGCACGCCAATACCTTAAATCAAGAAATATTTTTCTAAGATCTATAGAGATACTTGTAGAAACACCTCAGAAAGTGAGAAACCAAAAGTGGCAGGCTCAAACCCACAACCTCAATCAATGGCTGGTACCAAATGAGAGGCTCCTTCCTGGGCACACAGAAGACTGAGTGACTTGGAAGGCACTAGACAGACTGTGCTCTGGCACCACAAGATGCAGAGCCAATCTTAAGAAATGGGGCCACAAAGTGGAGTCTACAACATGCAAGTGTGGAGAAGAGCAAACCACAGACCACCTATTACAATGCAGTCTGAGCCCTGTCACATGCACAATGGAGGACCTTCTTATAGCAACACCAGAGGCACTCCAAGTGGCCAGCTACTAGTCAAAGGACATTTAGTATAATGCCAAGTTTCTAAACTTTCTGTGTGTGTGTGTGTGTTTTAAATACATTATAACTCTCCCCTTAGTCTGCTCCTGATACAATAACTTTTTTTAATCTCCCTGAAGGCATTCAGGGCAGTTTACATAGTGACCAAGCCCAGTATAAACAAGGATTACAAGCTAAAACACAATTAAAAACAATAACATATAAACAATATAATTAAAACAATTAAAACCAGAAGAGTAAAAATGTCATAAAATACATCAACAGACATCAACAACCAGTAGCTGGAAATGGTGGGCATGATCGGATTTGAGGGCAAGGCAAAATGCAGACTATAGGGCCGGGGCAGGGAGTAAAGTGCTGGAAAAACCAAATCGATAAGTTAGGACTGGGCAGACCTAGTCGAGAACTAAACCATCATTCAAAGGCACACTGGAACATCCAGGTTTTCATGTCTTTATGGAAGGTGGACAGTGTGGAACCTGATCTAATCTCCCTGGGGATGGAGTTCCAGAGTCGGCCGGGCACCACCAATGTGGATTATGTTGATAATGATGACCTTTACCTTGAAAAATCATACCCATGTGAAATGTGGACAATTCTTGGTAGGTTCCAGTTAATAAATCCCTAAAGCATTTTAATAAGATCTATTAAAATCAATGAGGCCTGTTTCAGAGCAAACATCTATAAGATTAGGATGCAATATATTTTTCAGAGTTTTAATACTGTCATAAATACATGGTCCATTTCAGATCTCAATATAGTCAATAGATAGTCTTTCAAATCTGTTTTCAATACATTTCCTGTGAGACACAATTTGACACTTGGAAGGAGGAGAGACAGGTAGGTTAATTACACTGCCAAATAATCTCATTGAGTCAAACATTACCCAAGAGAATAATCTCACAAAACCAATTTAATTTTGCTATTTGGAGTCCAAGATCACCTACTCATTAACATTGCCTTTAAATAAAAGTATTTTGCAGAATGTTTTTAAACCCTTTTCTGAAATTCTACTGTTCTTACAGTTTCCTCAGAGCCCAAACATCCAATGCTGCTCAGTAAATTTGATGGTACTAATTATTATTATTATTATTATTATTATTAAGTTCTGCTACCCGAGTTATCACATTTCAATGTTTATATCTAGTTGTGAAAGCTGGACAGTGAAGGAAGCTAATAGGGGGAAAAATCAACTCATTTAAAATGTGGTACTGGCAGAAACCAGTACATTGATTGCTGAAAAAACAAATAAATGGGTCCTAGAGAAATTCTAGAAATTAAGATGACTAAACTGAGACCCTATGAATGAGAGACTACCAAATCACCCTGTCTTCAACACCTTTAGCATCCTTAATGATGTCTATGTTTAGTCACCTATAATGAGGCCCTTCTCTTTTCTTATTACCTTACTAAGCATTATGTCTTTTCTAGTGAGTCATACCTTCTCATGATACGTCCAAAGCATATGTCTGGTATAATAATTGCTGCAATTTTTTAGACACAGTGAGGAAATTTTCGTCCCCACGATGACTGTGCCTCTGTAAAACCCTTTTTGAAGGCTAGGTATCATTTAAACTATTCCAGTTATACAGCTTGATTCCAGACTATTTGAAAGAACGTATCTGTCTTTATGAACATGACTGAGTCTTAAATTCCTTCTGGGCAGACTTCCATTTAATCCCATCATAGTCACAGGTGTATTTGATGAAGGTATATTAAAGTTCTTTCTTGGTGGTTGCTCTCAGACTGCTGAATTTCCTTTCATGGAAGTCCAAGTTCAGCCCCCACAACTCTCCTTCTGCCAGCAGATGATAGCTTTTATATTTAAATAGGCTTTTGGTAAATAACTAATGGTTAGGAGGAGTCTTTTAATTGGATGTGTACACTATATTTTTAATTCTTGTTATTTTCCAAATGTTTTATACGTTTTGAATTTTAGTGTTTTAATTGCTTTCAAAACTTTTTACCATCAAGTTTTCAGTGGTACCTATTTTTGTTTCAATCTGTGTTGTAACCCTTTGTGCTGGTCAGTGACCATAATAAAGTTTTGTTGTTGCTGTATTCTAAGCTACTTTGGCCTTCATGTTGGAAGAAAGGAATCAATTAAATAAATAAATATTTTAAATGTTGCAAAAAGTTGCAAACCATTTGATGTTGGCTACATTGTGCAAATACCAAAAGTATAACCATTTTAGGGATGATTTTAAAATGATTGTGTGGCTCCTGTCCTACTGAAATGCTATTTAATGGCAACATGATGGTTCGTTGTATAAGACACGCTATTGAGTCCCAAGTCTGGGAATCATTGTTCTTAACACCAGTTGTTAATATATTTTGAAAGTTCTTAGAAAATACTACAGAGCAGGAGTAATATATCATTAATTATAATATGCTTTTGAACTAGTATTGAGTCTGATACTGAGTCGTTTTGAAGCAGTACTGAGGGCCAGGCTTTAGCACAGTGGGTTAAACTGCCAGCAGCAGAAAATCTTGCTGATCAAAAGGTCAACGGTTCAAGCCTGGGTTGAGTGAGCTCCCAATCATCCACTTCTGTTCACCTAGCAGTTGGAAAACAGCAATGTGAATAGATAAATAAGTACCACTTTGGCAGGGAGGTAATACAAGGTACCCATGCAGACATGCCGGCAATTCGATCAGGAGAGCATCTAAGGACAACAAAATTACTTGGCATGGAAGATGGAGTGTCAGTAAAGACCTGGCTGTGGAACCAAGCATTCGGCCCATCATAGGAATATTTAAAGTTAAAGTGGAAGTTGAAAGTGCAATGACCCAGGACTGTTTACGGACAACAGGTATGTCTTTGTGTGATGTTATTTTATGTGATATGTTTAATAATGTTTAATTTTTATTAGGAGAGGGTCAATTTTGGTGTTTTATACTGTTTTTGATTGATGGCATTGAACTGTTGCCAACACTGTGAACCGCCCTGAGTCCCTTTCGGGGTTGAGAAGGGCAATATACAAATACTGCAAATAAATAAATAAATAATACTATCTCAGCACAAGGACAAGGAACGTTGCCAGTTTTTGTCAGCAATGGGGCCATCACCACATTTCAGTATAACTAACTAGAACACTTTGTCAGAGATGTGTGTAGAGGAAAAGCAAAATGAAATCACATGAAAATATGGCCAACTAGCAAGGTAAACCAAGACTATGAAAAGCAATGTTTGACTCTGGATTATATTATGTTCTATTCAGCACAGCCCCACCCTGACAATAAATGCCATGAG